AACTTCAGAATACAGCAATATATGTGAAAAACATATCTTCAACATAATACTATAATATAATACAAAAAATCAACATTCATTGACTTCTAGTTAATGGATCCACCAGAGCGACAGCCAATTCTCTCTCGCTATAACTCAAGCCATAGCTATAAAAACGTTTTATTGATTTCATCAATGAAATGAATGAAATTTTGTTATTATAGGGTTTTGAATCACAGGTCAACAGGATTTTTGTGCCGCCAAAACTGTAACTACCTATCGATATGTACATAGCCAATACTATGTTAAAGCTACAAAATTTTTAACGCTACGTGTAGTTTTCGAGATATGCAATATGTATTTGTAAAGCATAAAAAGTGAATTTTTGACAATCGCTTAGGATATTTTACAAGTAGAAACGCCTTTTCATAGTTTTTAACAACGTGCATTATTATAACAATCCCGTGTGCTATTTAAACATCAATCTGCCATCATATGATCATCCCATCGACCCTCGTACCTTCCATTACTTTTAGATGCTGGTGGTAGCGCTCTGCTTGTTCTTCACTGCGGGACCCATTTTTTCAGGGTAGTTCTCCAAATGACTTATAGTAATGATTTATTGGCAAATCTAATACATCACTGGGGATCTTGTTAAAATACTGTATACCTTGACCCATGAAAGAACCTAATACCTTCTGTAACCTGTAAGAAGGCATTACTAGCTTGTTTTTATTACTAGTGTTAAGTTTGTGTACATTACTATGCTTGGTATGCACATTGATATTGTTCCGGGCAAAAAGTATACGCTTCAGAGCCTGTTCAATACAAACTACGTATCTTTCCTCTTCGTAATAATAGAAGGATAGATATACCAGTACACACTTATCTATTTAAAGCTCTTTACAGCTTCACTTTTACAACTTATGCGAAATCAATAGATCTGGAACTTTATATCCTTTTCCAGATTAAACATGGTGTCTCATTAGATTAAGTAGTTAAAGATATATTCTTTGTGATAACCTATGCTCACGTGTTTGAAACACGCCGCGAATAAGTGATTAAGAGATGATTATCAATATTTATGCTCGTGTGACGGATGTTTATAAACAGTATATGATTAAGTATGTACTGAACCGTAAAGCGTAACCTGTTATAGTCGGGGCACACACACTAAAGGAATCTGCTGACATATAACATCGTTGCACACGGTCCCATTGTTGGAGTGACCGAAATATTACCAAAACTGCTGATGCAGCGGCACGTGGAGCAACAACGGACGTGGAGGCAATCCGAGTAATAGAGTTCACTTTTAGATCAACCATCGATCGGGTCACATAGTTAGGTTAGTTATTAAGAAATATAATGTAATTTTATTTCATTAAATTAGTATTAAGTAAATTTTGGTTTTCTTTGAAATCTCCGGCGGCAGCTTTTATAATTGGCGCAGTCGGTAGGATACTCGATAGGGTAGCTAGGAAAATACTTTTTTGGGATTTTCGCTACCGTGCGCGAGCGAACGGTATCTCGTCGCGTCACGTCACGTCGAGTATCTCACAAAAGAACCTGAGGCCGCAGTACCGGAGACGAATCTAAAAATCGATTCACAAAGAAAGCTGAAATACAGAATAAACTGTAAGTACATTGAATATTTCTTTATTCGTGTTGCTATTCCTAGTTCCTAGATCTTGTCAAAAATTTTAAAAATCAGAAACGTGTTAATAACGAGTCCGCGATCCAGCAGACTCGTCGACAACGTAGGTTAGACGAAAATAGAATAATAGATAGTAGTTTAGATTTAAATATTTCATTAGAAAATATATTAGATTTTTATTCAATCAGGCAGCATGTATCATACTATTTTAAGTACAGTAGTGTAAAAAAAAATGTTAGGAAAACTTAGGGTAATTTAGGGGTAAGATAGAATATTGGATATGAATAATAAGTTAGTTATAGTGTTTAAATTTCATATAATAGCGATATAATCCTTTAACTTATATTAAATATCCTTAACACCCAATCAGGTCCTTTTATTCCTCTATCCATATAATTATAGCAACCGAAGGGAAGTCATTCATGTACATGGAGGCTGAATGCCCGAAGGTAGAAAATCAGCATCTTTGTGTAGAAAATATTAATAATCATCTTTATTATCAGGACGATTTTATTCATTACCTTATAACAAAGCAATCATTAGATAAGAACTGCAACTTAACCACAATCGAGTTGAAGAAAATTAAAGAAAATGAACTACGAGATGTAAAAAAAAAAGACTACTGCTTCCGCAAGGCTCCAGCTAAATTCTATAGACTCACAAGTACTTCATAGTATGTATTCAAGATAATGTGATGATGCAGACTCCGGTTATGCCAATGAAAAATGAAGATGGATCACTGTACCATGCAACTATTCCGTGTTACTCGCTGCTGTTGAATGGTGGCGCTCTTGGAGTTTTAATATTATTGTTATAAGATGAATGAACTTGAAAAGAAATTAGATAAAATGTCCAGGATGCAAAGCCTTAATATGAAGATGTAAAAAAAATCGGATGCAAGAAACATCCAGCAATATTCTCTAAAAGAGTTTAGATAATAATTGCTGATCTTCAGGAGGGAGGTGTTATAGTCGGGGCACACACACTAAAGGAATCTGCTGACATATAACATCGTTGCACACGGTCCCATTGTTGGAGTGACCGAAATATTACCAAAACTGCTGATGCAGCGGCACGTGGAGCAACAACGGACGTGGAGGCAATCCGAGTAATAGAGTTCACTTTTAGATCAACCATCGATCGGGTCACATAGTTAGGTTAGTTATTAAGAAATATAATGTAATTTTATTTCATTAAATTAGTATTAAGTAAATTTTGGTTTTCTTTGAAATCTCCGGCTGCAGCTTCTATAATTAACCTAAACACAGTTATAGTTCATATTTTGTTCCCGCGCACACTATTCTTGGCTCGGAACTGGTTTAAGCCAGTGAAATTTGTTGGTTTCGTTACACTTTTAAACTTTTTCGATTCAGTTTATTAATTTCAAAGAACTTTTGTAGATATTCATTAATATTAATATCTATTCAAACTTCATGGTCTTTTCTCGTCACTGAGGTATTGATTTACTTAAAGCAGAGTTACATACCGTTGTTTATATGACATCTAATAATACTATATTTTTGAAACACAAACTGAGAGGACAAACACCAAGTAAAATATAAGATATCGAGAGACTTAACTACAAAACACCCAATTAATAATTTGCTTAATCTCTGCATCACAGACTAAACGCGATTTCTGCGTTGCGCCATCGAGCTCCCTTGTGGGGAGTACTATGTTACATAATCCCAAATCCAAGGTATTTCCCCGGCGACGTCACGGTTCGCTACTTTATTGTGGAACATGACATGTGGCATTTCGGTTGACGAAGGGGCAGATGTTTAGTTTATACGTTGGTAGATAAAATACTCACTTTATGCATGCTGTAGAACAAAGCTACTCAACATTTTAAACAGGTCAAAATTGACGATTTAAAACCACTGACGGGCCACAATGAGTGTTGTTTACGTTTTTTATGAATCTTGTCATTTTTTAAATAAGTTTTCCAAGACTCAGACCTAAAACTATATGTACGAGATGAAAATCCACGAATAAATTGTTAATACAATTAATGTTAATTTTCCTTTTAAGTAATTTTCCTTAGCACACACTAGCTATATATAACCACGGTCCTGAGGTTAAACAGACATGTTCTTAAATATCTACCATTGAAATGATAACTGTATCATTGAACAACTTTAAAATACTTACGTTTAATAAGTGATGACACATCACCATGTCTCGCCGTACTTCACTTCTTGTGTTTGGCTTCTGCTTACCTCTAGGGGATCTCTTATTGGTATAAGAGTTAATTAAAACATGTTCATTTTTATTTTTTAAATGACGATTAACGAATGTTCTTTTTAATTAAAAATAAATTCAATTGCTTGCAGGAAGATGTAACTACCTTCTCAAATGTGATATAAGATTTTATGTTTGGAATCTATTTATTGCATCAGTTCCCGAAACGCTCTCAGTGCCGCCTGTTATTTTAGACAGCTGAAATAGTAAAACAACTACAAATCATAGTAATACGTTTGCTACACATTAATCGAATCTAAAATGGTAATTAAGAAGTATTGAAGGTAGTTTTTTTAGCACATTGACTTTCAGAAACTGTTTACTTTATTCTTACCTTCTTACTATTTATTTTACACGCTATTCAAAGTTATTGACCAGCAAATGTGGTAGACACACAATATTAGTTTTAATCAAATAAAACCTTTATAACCTTTGGAGGTAGTTTTATTAAGCTCGCTCTATAATTATTGCACCGCTGATGACGATACTGTGAGAACTCCTTATAATTTAATTCTAATATGTAACTAGATTATCAATTACTTAGTTCACCATGTTTTAAAATATCACAAAAAACTTTTGATTATTATTTTAGGAATGTAATTTCTTAGTTCCCAGATAATTTGCAAAATATTCAGTATATTTGAAATGTAGAAAACTGTTACTACATTTTACTAGTTTCTGTATTATGTTTTGTTTTAATTATTATAACTAAGGTATATAATGTTTATATCAAGAATTGAAATGCGCCTTTATTGACCTGGTAATGACTATCCCTTATCTCTGTTTACATTTAATTTTAATCGAAGACATTAAGCTAGAGACACATTTAAATATCTTTTGTTTTGTTGTTTTGTCTTTGTTTCAATAATTACCGATAAAATAGTTATTGCTTCTTAACGATAGAAGAAATGTTTTGTTTATAGAAACTCGTCGCCCAATATTCTTATCATTATTGACTTAAAAAAAACGTCTAATTCGATTTCCATGAAATTAGTATCCAGAGGATTTCAGAGGCGATGAATCGATTTAGCTAGATTTCATATACCAAAAAAAAAATACCAAACAAAACTTTATCATCAAGGTAGTACATATTGATGAATAGATAAATGAAAAAGAAAGATATTTTAGAGTTTTTTTATTTCACCAAATAATTTCTTCCTACGTCACTATCAGAGATTTTCGACGTTACATTGGAATGTCTATCTGTAGAGTTGGGTGAGTTAATACTCTTAACAATAAATACAGCAGTGAACAACATAACAATGGTCGTGGCCAAAATATTATAGCAGCTACAAATACACATCTCATAAATCTCTAAAAAATCATCAAGGGTGAACTTAAAACAATATATATATATACATCTATCTATACGTAGTAATACATCAACTGGATCAAGTACAACACATACCCTGTTATTTACATTTTCTAACACTAAATACGTTGTAGATTTACATACTAATAAATTTTCTTAAATCTATGTGTGCATTGCTCAGTGACCCAATCATTGAATTATTTAGTTTTCTACGTATGACTTACACCATAATAGTGCTACCTATTATACTATCTTTACCGTTATCGAGAAGTTCAGAATACCCTGACTCATCACTGCAGGCACTGTCGTTGTCACCGACGTTTTTAAAAACCTCGGTCTCAGTGCTCGAGTTCAAACTGTCCACATCTGTCAAATTGTCTATCAGAGGTTCGAATTTACTTTCAAAACCTCCGAGAATGGATTCCACTCGTAAAGGTGGGTACGTGGATCTTCGCCGGAAAGTGTTCTTTTCCCCTATGGGGACATGATTCACTTCTTCTGTAGATATAATACTCGGTGGGTCCTCATCATTATTTATAACATGTATTGAATTCGAATAGCGCCTTATGCTGCCCTTGGCAGTGCGGTCAAAAGACAGTGTCCCTCCAAATGTCGCCCCACACTCTTCCTCGCTCTCTGAGTGTTCTTTTAATATTTCTTCTTGCGGGAAGTTCGAGGGAAGCGATGTTGGCTCAGTGTCGGATGAGGTGACAGTGCTCGCAGTCTCACAGCCTGAAGAAACGGATCCGTCGTCGCTGTCCGAGACGAGGAAGTTACTTTGAGGCAGCCGTTGTAAACTTTTGCCATCGCCATCAGACGTCTCGCTCTTCAGTTCGTTTGATTCGGCGATAGATTCGAGAGTCTGCAACCTCGATTCCGCGTTATCTTTATGACTAGTTTCATTTTCAGTATTTTTATCGGTGTCATTGCTATTGCTTTCTTTTATGAGTAGTTTTAAAAGGTCATCAGATACCGGTTCTTGACTCGAATCTGAGTGACACCGAGTTCTTTCCATGACGCCTTCTGGACATGACATTTTTCGTGGAGATTTCATTTCTGGCCGTCGCCTGTCGAGAGTGTGTGAGATGTCGAGTTCTGCGTGATTGAGATTATTATTTGCCCAGTTATTACAGAGGGTCCGAGCGGCATTCATTTCGGCTTCTTCTTCATCTTCTTCTGAACAAAGCTCCTCGATAGCACCGAGTTTAGGTGCTGACTTAGAACGTTCGAGCGGAGGGCGATAGTTCATTGCGCCCACGCTCAAAAGGATCTTCCGCCTGGGCATGCTAGGGTTATCGTATATGCTGTTAGCTAAACTGAGTCTTGCATTCTGTTTTGAGATTCTATCTTTTTTAAATTCCACTAATGCTTGCTTCAGTTTGACTTGTAATTCCTCTGTGATTTTCTTTGATATTGGTTCTTTGGTACATAGGACAGCGTGACAGCGGAGCTCATGCTTCAGCTTCTTGCCCTCATGGCGGTACACCCAGCAGAACAGCTTAGGATAGTGAGGTGGGCTGGCGCAGTACGTGATGCGATGCGACCAGTATTCAGTGAGGCCGTGCTCCTTCGTAAACCCTTTCAGTCCGGAGTTGGTGACGGACAGTTTCATCACCACATCAGGCTTCGTGGACTGCTGGTAGTTCCTCCACAGAGTCGCTAATGGCTTCTCTATGCAACTCTCACCTGTAATAAAAGAAATGACCAATGTTAGTACTGAGTTAAAAGTTGTTCGCCCACATTTAGTGATGTGACGGGTGTCTTATATCGGGTGGTATAATCGAGGTAAACTAGACAGAGAACGCTCCAAGACTTGCAACTGGTTTATTAATTCGTTTGAATACATTTGTAATTTAGAATTGAAGGCATTTTGAACAAAGACCCTCGGTTTTGGTCCGCTGAACCAGAACGAGGATATGTCTCGGCTATATCCTTTAAAGTTTCTTTAACGGGGATTACTGGGGCATGGTATTTTAAGTGTTTAGATTTCATATAAGTCCAGTAGTTCTAAACTAAAACTTTATTATTAACAGATTTCATGGAAGTGTTATATTTTTATAGTTTCATAAAACTTTAATTTTTAACAATAGATTTAAAATAATATTAAAATAAAATGCTAAAGTATTGTGTACACGTACATTAGACATGACAATTGTTAATCAAATATATTTTCACTATATAGCTATTGATTTCATGAAGTATATATCTCAACTCAATAGTTAATAGTTAGATTAGTATACTAAATCGATAGTGCACGTTTTAGGGTGCAGACCGTATTTCGTATATTTTCACCGTTAATTTGGTACCTATCCTGTTATGAAGTTTATTCAGAATTATCATTATCGATCTAAATAACCAATTTGATGTTGCAACGATTGGCACATCCTAAACCGTTTGCTTTCGAGGATCCTTCACTGTCCGCACCATTGACCAACATTTCGATACAATATAGGATTTATCATAATTTTTTTTAGCTAGTTACGGTAAAAATAAGCTTAGAGAAGAAAATTATGAGTGATATTCGTCATGAGTTATAATAATTTTTTTTTATTTACTGATTGAGCAGTGATAAGATAGATACATTTGAAGTCTAACATTAATTACCCCCGTCACAAATTTTGCCCTCTGAAAATTGCTAATGGCTACTACAGTAAAATTGAAAACAATGACTTTAAAATTTATTTATTAATTGAAACTTCACTTAAAGCATGGCCACCCGACAACAGTTGCGACACACACGGTTGGGTAACCTGCCTTGTGTTACACATAAGCTCGACCGATGTCAATGGGAGTTTACAACAAATGTTCCAACTTTTTTGGTGATCGCATAGCTATCAGAAGCTCTATTTTGATTCACTCGTATACTACCTAAGTCACGCTCGATTTCGAGGTAGTAGTACGTAGTTTTGCGAACCGATGGCGTAGTTTTCGACTTTCACAAGTGCTCTGTAAAAGCCTAAACTGAATAAATAAATTTTGATTTTGATTGAAGGCGCATAATGCCGTTTTTTAGTATTTTTGAATCGTCCGTCTGCAGTGTTGGCAACATGATTCGAAATATTGGATTTTGTTCTTCGTATTATATGGAAAAAAAATCACCATATAATAAAAGTATAAATATAATATATATAAATATAATATAATAGTATAATTTCACCGTCATTGAATTATTTCACTAAAAAACGATTGGTTCATACCACTCGTTGCAGTCGAGCGAATCAGAAATGGCGAATTTGTTATGTCGAACTAAAGTAAGTAGAAAACGAGCGCTCGACGTTAGACGTATGATTCAAAAATAGAGCGTCAGAGCCGCAGGAGGCGGACAATAAGAATTTTCTTTACACCTTGTATGTTAAGGGATTTCATAAATGGCGTTTACGGAATCTAAAATCAAACATTTTCTTATTAACGATAAATAATTTCTAATGACATATAAAAGAGTGACGTAAGTATAAAACACGTATTACTTTATAAGAATACTGTATCAAATACAAAAAGTGACTTTCTTCCCTGTAGTTTAGGTAAATAAATAGTTCTTTGATACCTTTCTTAAACAATATGCGGTTAGCTATACTAGTTAATTGGCTCAAATTGAAAAAAATAGCGTCATCAACATAAGAAAGGTAGAAGGTATTAACATGGGATACACCGAATAAAAACAAGGAAAACGTAACAAAACAAGTAGGTACTTAACTTTGAGTAAAGGAAAAGGCAAGGTATGTAATTTTGCTTAAACATTTACCTGGTAAGATGTTTCCTGAAGTACTACCAACAATAAATAATTAATAACATGTCTGTGTTATTAAGTATTATTATAAAAGGTGCTTTGAACACTATAAAGTATCTAAAAAATTAAGACGATTACCTTATAAGTACTTTTTAATCATAGTATTTAAAAAAATGTCCATATGCCATATACCTATATACGATAAAGAAAGTTCAAAATAGAGACGTAATCGCTTAATTAAATATACAATGCATTGGAACAATAAGGCTATAGTAAGACCGGTAACGAGAGCTGTAATGTACAAGATGTACGGTGTAGTAGGTATGGATGGAATAGGATGTACGAAATGTTTTGGTTAATAATCTGCGACCTTACTTCTTACCAGAGTGTTACGTATTCATTTCCTTTGTAATACCACCAACGACCTACAAAACCACCTACGACCAGCTGACCGTCATAACTTTGGATGTTGTTATGCAAACCGCGTCCAACCCACACGAGTACGTATGGACAAACTGGATTACCTATTATATTACCCCATATGATTATGCTTAAAATCCCATGAAATAAAATTTAAATACATTAACAATTCGCTTAGAAAGTAAATATTGTCGTCAAATATTTATGCAGCATTGAACATCAAATTTATTGTTAAATATAAAATACTGTATTTTTTAGATCAGTATAAATTTAGAAACTTTAAAGTTCAACGGCGGCTGTGAACACCCAATTTTTAATATATACTTATGTGTGTATTCAAAATGTCAGAAATAGGTAGATAGTTAAATAGATAGATAAATTCTTTCTTTGCATCATGCTCACAAAATTTTACAAAACTGATTTCCATAATTAAATGAGAAAGAAAAATAATGAATAGTAGAAAACAAGATGTAGACTGAAACAAGACAAACAGTATGTGTACCGCAGCGATGCAAATGGGCGAAAACTCAGTGAGTATTAACTCAAGGAGCAAAGCACTGATTTACTTTTTATTATCAAATTTATCGTAAGTTTAAATTGTCGTGCACAAGCATACTTACATTTCATTTTGTTCCATAAGTTATATACGTATGTATCAATTGATTGAAATAGGGTATTTGATAAAATGTATGAGTATAGTAAACATATATTTATATTTTTTACTATATATTTAAATATATTAATACATACATACCTACAATGCACAATTTGATGCTTATTTAGTAATCATAGTAGTTTATTTAATGTTTTTAATACAATAACTGACCAATGGAAATGAACTACAAAAATCTCCCAAAACCAGCATTCAACGTCGCCCAATTTAAATGAGCTATTATAATACACACAAGTTAATCATAATTGCTTTGGTAATGCAATTAAAATATCAATGAAGCTTCAAAGAAGTAACTGATGAAGATAGCCTTTTGATCTTAAGAATGTCAATTAAAAGTTCCCAAGCAAAGATAACTTGTAACATGCCGTTTGTGATAAAAATTAAATGGACATTCACACAAATATAAATATATAACTATCATGCATGCTAAGATTGTGATTATATGATGTACGTGCATGATTCTCGCGGAAGTAATAAGACCTAGAGTAGGGCTGGCAACAATATTTTGTTCATTTTAAATTATCGATATTTTTAATTGGTATCATTATTTTGATACGACATTAAGAAATAGAAAACTAATATTGTTGAAAACTATGCAATTATTGAAATTAATAGTATTCAAATCTTAGTATAATTTTATTAATACCTTGAATACAGCGCTTTACCATTAAAATTAATAGAATATTTACTACTAAATATTTATGTAGAAACGATATAATGACTTGAAAGGAGTTCCAATTTTCAGAGTACAGAATCTCTATAATATACATTTTTTTTTCTAAAAACAAACACTTTGTTCATTAAAAAAAGTTCAAGAAAACTTTTCTTGCATGAACTAATTGAAACATGTAATACGGTTGGCAACCCTATGCAGGTGAGTCGGGTAACTATCCCGAGAATACTTTCACTTAATACGAATCATGATGGTTCAATGACTTGGTCACCGCACACGGCCACCCTACCCTACCGACTCGCTCGATAAGATAACACCGCTCCGTTTGAAAGATTACTGTAACCCTGGTACGATAAAATAACATATCAATTTGTATAAAACTATAAATTTCTGCAATAGAACTTTAATGTTTAGAAATTAAAGTTCTAAATGACTATAGAAAATTGAATAATTGATTACAACTCTAATTGATTTTTCAACTTAACAGGTTAATAATATAGTTAATCATTTTACATTTCATCGTAACCCGATACGCTTGCTGTTTGTTATTTCTTAAGATTTTCCCAATTATTAGAAAAGCAAATGAATCAACGGTCCTATAGCTATCAGCAATCTAACGGCTGCCATGATACAATAAGCGTCTCAGCTTACTCCTTTTGTTCGTTTCGAAGATAAAACCAAACCCTTATACAAAAGGTGTAAGCAAAATCACCTAGTAATAGACTTCAATGTTGGCAGAAACTGGTGTAATCAGAATATAGGAGAAGTAAAACGCCTGTACCTTTATTGAAATGTAACTAACTGAATTCAAATACAAATATGGAAGTTTCATATTTGTATCTGTATTTACCTATCAGTATTTATAATGCACATTTACAATTAATGTTGTGTTATACTGAATCTCTTGCAAATTTTAAGCCTTTTTAAAATATCCGAGAAAATTGACTTTTTATTTTTATGTTATTCGAAATTACTGTTACTTTTATGAGATTCCATTATTAATAAAGTGCTTAGTTGAAAATCGGTTTTATTACGATGAAATACGAAAAAGAAAGAGACAAAAAAGTGCCTATTTACTTAGGTAATGTCAGGTGAAACTAAACACATTATGAATTTGCAATATTTATTTTAACATAAAATTTGTATAACTCGAAACATATCAACAGGTTGGACTTGACAACAGTGTAAGTTAA